AATTGGAAAGGAGCCAGGGGACGCAAAGTAAATGATGAAAGGTTTTGAAAAATAGCCCTTCAGGGAAAAGTCTACATTAGTCCAGAGAAGAGAGGTGTGAGTAGACTGAATATCAGTCTTCAAACTCTAAAGGGATGTTACATTATTGACACCAAGCCTTTTTTCCTCCGAGCCCACAGAGGATGATATGAGAGAAAATGAGTTTAAACTACAACAGACAGATTTAGATTAGTCAGATGTCCTCAGCCTGAAGAGCAGAACCCATTCTCAAGCTGCAAGATTTAGTCTCATAAGGGAGTAGGTCATTCTTAAGGTTTTTTTGAGCTGTCTGACCAGTGGCAGCTAAAGTTCACCCAGACCTGGTCATCTACTTGTGGGTGTTTCCATCCAGTCTCATTTAGGAAACTGAGGAGTTCTGTCCAAAAAAATGTTTCACTTCAAGGCTATGAAGAGGGTAAATAAGTAAGTCAAGTGTGTTGCTGCCTCATATGGGAAAAATCCAGACAAGAGACATCTCATCCTTCGGGCCATGATTGGACAAACTTTTCGGAGTAGAGTGTGCGGTGGGAGGGCGGCGGCCCCCAGCCTGTGGGACCCACGGGCCCCATCTCTGCGTGTTTTCAGGGGCTGTTGACACACCAGAAATGCCGCCAGAGAAGAGTAACTGGGACAGAAACTGGAAACTGGGCCAAATGAAGAGCAGGGGAAGGAATTACATGTGTCATGTGTTGGCCTGGAGAAGATAAGCCTGAGGAGGGTGGGTGGGGTGGGGGGTGATTGTGTTATGGGGGAGGACCACATCAAGAAGCTGTTTTCGAATCTTTCAAGTGCTGTCAGGTGGGAGAGAGACTAAACTTGCGCTGTGCAGCTCCAGAGGTCAGTGCAGAGCTCAGTACAGCTTATAGGGCTAGAGTGTCAGTGGAAAAAAAAGCAGCAGTTTGTAATTATTAGAGATACTCAAAGCAGATTGTGGCGCCTAGCGACGCAGGAGGGTTTTCTGCAAAGATTGAATGGGTATCTCACAACATTGGCAGAAGAATTCTGGACGTTTTTTTTTTTTTTGTCTTGCTAATCAAATGACACTTCCTGGAGAGTGAGATAACCTAGCAACAAACTATGCTCGTGCTCAGCAAAGGTGGGCTTTGCGGTCTGAACCGCTAGAGGGCGTCAGAACAGCAGCATTTCGGAGCCACCATTCACACTCTGGCCAAATAGCCACTGATGGGGGTCCTGGCTCTTGTCTCCTTAATTCTGTTTTCAGTATCTTCTACATGAATCATTTTGGAATGCACACATCTCACTAAATTATTTAATGTCCAAAGGGCCTCTGCACGTTGGGAGGAATAATCTTTTCTATTTGTATTTTAATACTCAAATTTGTTAAGGTTTCTTCTTGCGGTGCATAGTAAAATATAAATGGATTAAATTGTTTCTTTAAAAGTTCAAACACTCCTTATAAAACTAACAAAGTTAAAATGTATGAATTTAACAAATATAACAGTTCCAGAAATTTAAACGTTATTAATAAACTAACTGGATTCCCCTAAATTCATGAGTATCTTCTGTCTGAATCTTTTTTTATTGCAGTAAAGTTGATATACAATATTATGTTGGTTTCAGATGTTCAACACAGTGACTTGATAATTGTATACAGTACTAGATGCTTGCGA